GCCTTTGAGGGAGTCCATAGAGTGGTTTAACTAGGGCGAGGAGACCCACTCTGCATGGGTCCCTGCCTGAAAGGAAAAAGGGAGAAAGCAGCTGAACACCAGTTGCATCAAACAGCAGGATTTGCCAGGCCAAGATGAGGTGAGGACAAGTGTCCCTGCTGAGTGCAGGCCAGATGTCATGCAGTGGAGATTCTGTAGGACAGAATGGAGGACAATTCTTGTGGCGTCCCAGGGCTGACTCTGTTTTTGTAGAGCTACTTCAGCATGTGCAAGCTCACTGACTGCTGTAAAGCCAACACAGATTCCTAAATGAGATGTCATAAAAGCTACAAACCCAATACACTTCAGATTAACAGCATTCATTTCATTTGGTGAATGTTGGTGCGCAGAAATTAAATTGCCACTCCTAGAGTGGACAAAGCTCTTCTGTTATCCTCATTCGGAACAGAGTCTCTTTACATACCTCTTGAACTTGCCAGGATTCTGTCGTGGTGGCACCTCAGCTCCGGCTGAGGCAGGAGGCTCGAAAAAGATTTAGATGAGCTCGGACTACACAGCAAGAGACTCCAACTTTTCCAGAATAAATGTGCTGGGACACCTGCTCTCCACATTAGCAGCATGCATCATGCCTGGTCACGATCGGCCAACCTGCTCATCTTCCCGGCATTTGTACATGTATCTGTCGGGGGCTCAGGGCTGTTCTGCAGTGTGTCCTCATAACAACAGAGAACTGGGCAGTCAGAGCAAGACTGAAAAGAAACAGACACAGAAACTGAATGTTTTGGCAGCCAAGAAGAAAAGGCACGGAGCTGCTGGGGAAATCACAGATGCATGATGCCGTGAACAATGCCCACAACAGTGACCCTGAGTGAAGGGGAATGGCTGGCTGATGCCAACAATTGCATGCTTAGGAAAGCAAGACAGTCCCATGTGTATCTCACACAATGCAGTTGTCTCCATGCTTCTCTGTCTGTAGACAGTCCTTCATGACAGGGACAAGGATGTGTGTATGGACACAAGCTTGTGCTCACACGTGTGTGCATGTGTGTGTGTGTGTGGGGGGTGTGGTAGAGAACACTGCTCTCTGTGACATTCAGAACAACTGGCCTCAGATGATTAGCGGTGCCCCTCCCCACCCCAGCACTTAAGGCTGCTGTTAATTGCCCCCGTCTGAGGGTTCTGAAGTGACACACTGGACCCACAGCTTTCATCTTCATACCTCTTCATGCCTCTTGTGACAGATAATTATGGTTGAGTGTGAGCATCAACAGGAAAGCAGACCTCTTATCTCTGCGTTGGGCACTTAAATGAGCATTTTAAGGGAAATTATTAATAACTGTGCTTGAGAAAATGATCTCAGCTAAAGCTTTTGAGATTCTGAATTGTGTTATATCTGCAAGAAAAAAAGGCCCTTTCAATGATAAAATGGGGGAAGGTTCTAAAGTAATTTAATTTATCTAACAAATAATTATTACATACCCTTAATATTTAATATTCCTTATTAGAGACCTTGGGATATAGGATTCGGTTCCTGGCAGGCCAGAATTTTCCAGCTCAGAGCTTCTAACTGCATTTACTGTTTCCAAAGATGTTTAATATAAAGAAACCTCAGAGGCACAATACAGTCCAAACCCATGAGGAGATGAGATGTGAGCTCCTTTCTGCTCCAGCTGGCCCTAGGATCATGGGCAGGAGGGGGCTGCCCTGTGGGACATGGTGGAGGCGAAGGGGAGGGAGACAGGAGCAAGTCAGCTCCTCTGGATGTGCCTGTGGGGAGAGCAGCTGGCATGGGCGGAGGACAAGGAAATGCGGGCTAAGGTCTTGAACTTCACCCTAGAAAATGCAGAGACTAACAGATGACAGGCAGAGGCAATCAGAAGGCAAGGCTGGTTAGGGCAGTTGGGAAGGAAGTCGGATCAGGGAGGGGGTGTTTTTGGACTCTGTATCTGGTGGAGGGGGGTGTGGGCACAGCAAGGAGAGTCAGGGAAGGGCTAAGAGAGACAAGCCTCACTTAGCTTAAGGAGCAGCAGACTGGAGGTTATGGGTGACTATAACAGCTGGCTTGTCCCGTCTCACCCTGTGATCGCTCTGTGTTCCGCATACAGTCACAGTAAGGGTTAGGGTTTCGACAGGTGAACTGGACACATTTAGTGCATCACACTGCTACATATGACGACAAAAACGTTGGGTTCTGGGGTGTCTATCTTCTCCAGGTGCAAGCAAGCCCCTTATGACAGACAGCACACCGTAGGCCGCCTGCTGTCCTTCTCCACCTGTGACGTTCCTCACCCCCTCCCATCTTTCAGGTGTAGAGACAGAGTCTTCTAGTCACGTAGCTCAGCGGCTGTATTTGAACTCAGAACAACCTGACTCCAAAGGTCAGGTCCTAAACCTCTGCGCTGCTCCTTGGCGTCTGCCCATGGACAGGAGAATTCGACCTCAACCCAAACAGGCAAGGGGTTCGCTGCCTTTTCAGTGTGTGGTGTACACCTCTTACACAAAAAGGCTCAACATACATTTGATGGATGAATTCAGAGTGAATCATTTCCCTCCAAGCATTTATTTCTGGGCTCACAGAGAAGATTCACCCTGTACTGTCTGTAAATACAACTGTACAGAGGCCAGATCAGGGTCTTTGTCCGTGTGTGTGTGTGTGTGTGTGTGTGTGTGTGTGTGTGTGTGTGTGTATTCATGTGTGAGTGGTGCATGTAGACTCCAGAGGTCAATTCCAGGCATCTTCCCAGGCACCCTCTGTCTTGTTTCTTCTGAGACAAGGTCTTTCACTTTACTTGGAACTCACTGGTTCAGCTAGGCTGGCTGGTCAATAAGCCACACTGATCTGCGTGTCTCTACCTCCCCAGCACTGGGATGACAAGCACACACCTCGCCATGCCCCATTTTTTCACATAGGTTTGAGGATCAAATTTAGGTCCTTGTATTCATGTGATAAACACTTTATCAACTGAAACGTGTTTGTGTTCTGCTACGATAATCCTATAGCAGAAACTTACATTGCACCCGAGGGAGGGAATTGCAAGTGGGTGAAAGGTGATTATTTAAGGTGCAGGCTCCCTTTGTTTAGAGTGTAGAAACAAACAGAGGAAAATAGAGTCCAAACGGAACCTGCTGCAAATGGAAGGCAAACGGGCCTGTTGTGTGCAACAGCATCAGCTCGGCAACAGTCATTTCTGCTGCCGCTGAGTGGCCATCTTGCAATCGGTGCTGCAGCTTCTCTCAGTTTCTTCGAAGGTCCTCACGAGGTGTCTAGAACTCTCAGGACACGAGGAGTGTCTTAGCTTGCAGTCTCCTTCCTCTGTCCCTGATGATCATGTCCTTACCATCTGCCTTGAACGTGTCCCTGAGCCAGGCAGGCAGGGGTGGAGCAATGGCTGTCACAGAGACCCTCTCAGTTAACGTTGATCTACTCTGTGCATGCTCCAAAATCCTCCAACATCCTGCCCTCTAGCTCAGTCCTTCCCTCTGTCCAAATACTGGACAAGTCATCATGTGCCCTCACTGGGGATCTGCACCCCCCATCCTTGGCAGGAGCTCTGCCATTGCCCTCTCCTACAGGCCTTAGTCCACCTGTGCTTCCTATCCCTGCTTGTTGGAGAAGCTGCTGGGACACCTGGTGCCTCCTGTTATGGCCCTGGAATCTGGCTGCATTCCAGCAAGGCCACACTGCTCTTCAATAAGGAACTTCTTTTGTCTCTCCCCCCCTCCCCCGCCCCAGTCCTACCCTACCCCAGGCTTCACCATCCCTAGGAGGCTCCTGACCCTCCACTGGTCACAGTCACTATAATAGTCAGAGCCCTCTGTCCTTGTCCTGTGCCTGATGCTCTCCTTTCCCTGTATCCTCTCTGAAGGGAGGAGCGATGTGTTTCCAGTCTGTTCTTGGCTCCTCTCTAGTTTTTCTTCTCTCTTCCTCTACCTCTCCTTGTCATGTGGAGCCAGGCAGCCCCCTCAGTCTGGCCAAGAGGGTGTGGTTGGTTCTCTCCAGTACATGGGAGGTGGATGGTCCCTGGAAGACAGCAGGGACCGAGGCTATCTTTTCCTTGGCTTGCTATATGCCTCACTTGCTACTGTTCCAGCCACAAGTTTCTCTGCTGTCTGGGGCTTGCTCCTCTGCTGTTCCAGTCCTGTGTGTGGTCTGGGAAGAGGACCTAGCCCATGGCACCTGGGAGGTCATGCCATGAGGCAGGTGCAGAGGCTCACACAGGCTCACACAGCTCTGCCTCTGCTGGCTCACTCTTTAGTTGTTCCTGGTTCTTGGGGATGTGGGGATTCATCTTGACTTTCAAGTGTCGTGGAACTTTTCCTAGGGAGATGAACGAACATCTGTACATAGATAGGTACTAATGACAAATGATTGCCCAAGTCTGTCGTTGTAAGTCAGTGAATTTATCGGGGGTTGCTTACGGGAGCATAGGTGGCTTATGGCAGTTGCTTCACAAAAAGTCCTTCCCAGGGTGGTGATGCCTCACAAAACTGCATCTCTGGAGCTCCCTGCCCCACTTACAGGCAGTTCCACAGAAGAGTCTTCTCTCCCTTAGTAATTATTTACTGCTTAGCTAATCTCTGGGAGGGGCTTGTGAATCTTAGACATGTCATGAGCCTCCTGCCTCCCTCTAAAGGTAAGATTTCAGTCTGGAGAAAACAGTCACTCAGCCATGGTCACCAGCTCTGTAGAGAGGAAGAATGCAGGGAAGGGGGAGGAATGGCTGCCAGCAGAGACCACACTGCCCACCAGACAGCCTCTGTTCTCTTCCATCATGTTCTACAGTCCTGGGAGAGGATGGCTCAGCAGATACAACAGGTTGTGCCACGCCAGCTGGGAAGAGCCTCTCAGGCATCTTTTAGATAATTTGGGCAAGAGAAGAGATTTTATTTCCCCTCTAAATTGTTTAATTTTAAATCTGGGTACAAAGGTAGACATGATACAACATCATCCTGCATCCTGCTTTGCAAGTCTTGAGATTCTTGTCTTCTTTCATCGGTAGGAAAACGTATGACACTTAAGTTCTGCACTGAAGCACAGTGTCTAATCTGCCACCAAAGTCCCCTGCCTTCTGCTGGAACCAATGGACATGCCTGCTCTGCTGAAGCCGGAAGCCAGGTGAGAGCTGGACCCAGTGGTGCACTTGGTCCCGTCTACTCAAGAGGCTGATTGTTTGAGTCGGGGGTGGGGTGGGGTGGGGTGGGGTGGGGTGGGGGGAGAGTGGCCTAGCAAACACAGTGAGACTGAAAGAAGGGGAGGACAGGGGGACAGATGGGGGAGAAAGAGAGAGACAGAGAAAAGAGGGAGGGAGAGGAGAAGGAAGGAAAGGAGGAAGGAGGGAAGAGAGAGGGACAGAGGGAGGGGAATACAGCACTTCACTCCTCAGTCCTGAGGGCTTCTCTGCAAAGAGTTTACCTGACAGGGAGTCTGGAGAAAAAAATATCAGCGTGTCACTCTGGGGGAATTGACGTTAGGACACTGTCTTGATTCTAGACCTACTTTGTTTGATTTGTATAAAAAAAAGCACCAAAATTGAGCACCAAAAAGAACCCACATAAAAATGATATACAAGAGTTTTTGAATAAAAATAAGTCATAAATAAACAATAAATTCTCCATAGGCCCGATGCAAGTGGGTAGCAATAACACTGTGTTTACTGTCGCCTTCCCAGTGAAGATATTTATAATCCAGGGCAATTCATTGAATCAGTCTGGCATTTATAAAGTTCTCATCATGGTATTGGAGTAAGAGCTGCATCCTAGGAAGTGTTATTGTAATAAACTATAATTAGTGGCTTGTAGACAGCCCTAATTCACTGTTTAGAGGAAGAAGAGACGTGGTCATGAATGTGCGCATTGCCTCTGTCTCTCAGTATCATCACCAGGCTGGTGGCCTAGACAGGGTTCTGCACCAGGCACAGTCAGCCTCAACTCTATCCATTGGGTTTTCCCCTAATGATGGCGGTGGAGTGCCAGTCCCAGGACCCACTATCCTTACTGCCTTCTGTTCTTTTACAGCTTCCTCATTGGGTACATAGCAAATGGGACTCCCCAAGCAGAAGCCAGCAGCTCACCTACAGGAGGAGCCATGTGGGGCAGGCTGCCAGGGCTCCCAGGACTCCATGCGGGTCCTCAGGCTACAACCCAGGACCCGGGCGCTGCTCTGACCCCTCGTGTCTTGTGTTGCAGCCGGAGGGACGCAGGTCTGCAGCAGAGCCTGCCCGGTGGCCCCTGAGGGACTTGGCATGGGGAACAGAGGCAGGCACTTTGGGAAAGCTAGGGCAGAAGGGCAGTGGGTTGTACCAGAGGTCTTGAACACAAGGTTCCTTCATCCATTCAGCCGGACATATAGAACCTGGGGCCTGCAGGAAGGTGAGGCTGGCTGTGTGTGCTGAACACAGCCAGGATGCAGCACAACACAAAAGCATGAACTTGGAACACAATGGGATTTTTTTTTTTTTTTGGTAACTCTTCTGTAGTTTTTGACCTGGAATGTTGTAGATGGCAATGGAACATTAATGTTGCAATTTCAAAGGATTGAACATGCTTGATAGTAAGAGGAGGCCAGGGCAGTCCTGAGGACACAGGGTCCAGTAAATGACCCTTAGCTTCTTACTGGAGTCCCATGGGTCACTTGTCTACAATTCTCCATCCCAAGGCATTGTCCTTAACTTATAACCAGATCCTTTCCAGTATCTCAGACTGTCTTCTGTGACTCTCCATGACTGCCCTGCATCCTGGGCAGAAAGCATCCAAATGCCTGCATTTTTAATAAACCTTGCACCATCTACAGGGCATTCTTTTTTTTTTTTTTTATAAGAAATGGATTGGTTTTAGAAAATAATCAGCTCAATATTTTTTTTCCTTCTCTTGAGTGGTGTGAAGGGAAACTGAGTAACAAGAGAGGCTGTATTTTAATCTGAATAATGGGAAAGCCAGGAATTTGAAAGGATTGAGTCTGGAACTGCTTTGCCTCAGAACAGGTGACCATCAGGTTAAGCAGCCATGCTGCATTGCATCCATAAACCTAGACACTATGTTTGTGGTGTCCTGCTTAGTAAAGACTAAAAAGAAACTCAAAACAGATCAGGAAAAGTGTGGCTGACACCAGTTAGACAATCCGGAGGAAGGAAGCCAACAGATACTTGTGTAAATCGATGTGCAGGTAAGGCATTCTGTAAGACGTTCCATGACCATGTTGGGGGACATTCTCAGGAAAATGAGATACATACAGTGGAGTAATCAGATAAATAAACGTATTAGGGACAATATAAGTAATGTTGCTACCTAAACGAGAAGTCTTTTAACCTTTTTAAAATTAGATTTATTCATTTTGTCTTTTCCCTGAATGTAGTGTGTATCACATGCATGCTTGATGTCTGTGGAGGTCAGAAGAGGGCATTGGGCACCCTGAACTGGAGTTTTGGATGGTTGTGAACCACCACCTGGGTACTGAGAATTGAACCCAGGTCCTCTCCAAAAGCAGCAAATGTGCTTAATGGCTGAGTCACCTCTCCAGTCCTGAAAACTCTTATAAGATGGAAAGAGATTGTTCTGTAACTGGGAGAGGGCAAATGCTAGGGTAAATGGTAGTGTTGAAGGAGAATCAGAAGGATTATGATTCCATTCTAAACCATCAGATTATGGTTTCAGTATAGATGCACACACACGGGGTGTGTGTGTGTATACACAATTATTCCTTAACTCTTGTTCACAGAGCACACCTCACACCCAGATCTTTGTTTGCAAAGATGTTATGTGAACAGTGTCCAGAGCTCCTTTAAGAAGTGGCTGATGTTGGGTCTGGGACAAGACATGCAAAATAAGCCTGGATCATCTGGTACCATAAAGGAAGGAATGTCTGAAGGGACTGGCAAGATGGCTCACTCGGCAATGTGCAAGCCTGACGGGAGAGAACTGACTCCACAGTTTCCCTCTGACTTCCATGTGTGCATCTGACTCCAACACCACACACATATTATACACCCTAATAATAATTTTTTTTTAAAAAATGATAAGACTCATCAAAAGGATACAGAAGCCACCTAAAGAAGCTTCCATGACCATACTTGGGGCTATTTGATCACCACAATACACATGTATGTTTTGGGGTTTTATGGTGGGACAGTCCAGGGTCTCACTATGTATGTAGATCAGGCTGGCCTCAAAATCATAGAGATTATCTCTGACTCTGGAGTGCTAGGATAAAAGGCATGTGCCACCATATCCAGCATAGCAAAATACATGTTGATAATTAGTAAGAAACCATGAGCCCATGCTGACAAAAAAAAAAAAAAGTTAGTTCATGAGCCAAGTGCTCAATGAGGAGCAGGTTTACACCATTCACAGACCCACAAGGATAACATTGCTACAGAGGAGAGGAACCTGGAAGGCCTGCCCTCCATCAAATACATCATCCACAAAGAACAGACTGTGTCACAATCTCTATGAGAACCATGGACTCACGATCCTGCCAAAGTCGAATGACCTGCATCTAATCACAAGGAAACATCTCTTCTGCTGAAACTGAGATGCAGTCTAGAAAATAGCCGACCGATAATGTTAAAAAATTCAATGTCCTAAAAGTAAGTGGAGACCAAAAGAGGCATGTTAAAATCTCTTGAGTAAGATTGTAGATGTTACTTCTGTTCTTTCAGTTAAATTTTTGTTAGATTTATTTTATTTTATATGTATGAGTGTTTTGCCTACATGTATGTGCTTGGTGTCTGTGTAGCTCAAAAGAGGGTGTCAGATCCCTAGAACTGGAGTTAACCATGGCTGGGAACCACCATTAGTATGTATAATATATGATGTGGGGGTATATGAATGCATTATGGAGGTCAGAGGACAACTGTAGGCAGAGTTTTTCTGTCCCAGGAGCCGCTTCCAAATTATCACACAGAGGCTTATATTAATTGTAAATGTTTGGCTAATAGCTCAGCCTTATTACTAACTAGCTCTTGCATTTTAAGTTAACTCATATTCTTATTTACCCTCTGCCACAAGGCAGTACCTTTATTAGCATGGCCCATTCATCTCCTGCTTCCTCTGCGTCCAGCTGGCAACTTCTCTGACTCTGCCCTTCTTCATCCCATCATTCTCAGTTTGGCTTTCCTACCTAGCTTTATCCTGTTCAGCTATTGGCCAGTCAGCTTCTTTATTAAACCAGTCATGGTGACATATATTCACACAGTGTACAAAGGGATTATTCCACAGCATTACCCCCTTTTTGTTTAATTAAAAAGGAAGGTTTTAACTTTAACATAGTAAAATTATATACAACAAAAACAGTTATCAAGTAAGAATTACAATTACAATATCTAGTCTATTTGTATTTGGCAAAATTAGAGAAAATATTTTATTATCTATTTTATTTTTGTGAGTCTAAAGTTTTATACTTAATTTGCTTGCTATCATAACTAAGGAAAACTAAGTTTAACTATTTAGTCATTAACTCCATCAAAGACCCCAGAAGGATGAAATGTTACCTAATAACAGGGACATGAGACTGTCTGGACAGTCACTCAAAGTTCCTCTGTAATGTTGGGGTATCTAACTCTGGCCTACAGGCCAAGCATATCTGACAGACTTTCCTGTGAAGCAGGAAATTCTGAAGGACTGTCCTACCCTTGGAGAAAATTGACAGTCACCTTTCTTGCATCCTCCTGTCCAGTTTGGACAGTAACTGTCAGCAATTGAAGCAAAGGCAGTTTCTTTGCCCACATGGCTAGCTTTTGCCACAAAGAAAGCAAACTCCATAAGGAGTTTCTTCAATACCCATTATCTTCTCTGAAGTAAATTGGTTCTGCCAGGAGCAGATGTGTCTCACTCTCATGAAAAGTCTTAGGTTTTTAAACATATTAAATGCCATATTCTGCAGGTCTTTGAAGTGTTTGAAGACCATCTATCTAAATATATCTGTGTATGACCTTGAAAACATACCTAATATGACTATAAGTTTAACTATTATAGATGTTTATTAATCTGTATTTCTTAATTATACATTATATTTTTAAATGAGCTGCATAAACACAATACCTTTAAAAAGTGTAGAAATCTACACACAGTATAACAAAATTAACTTTAAATTTGTATCAATATACAAAAATCCATACCAATGTATATTATTTAAGACTAGCAGTTGCCTTTTTAGTTTGAAAGTAGATTCAATAATCTACCTTCCCCCCATCATTTCTATATCATAGCCCCCTTTCTTCTTTTAGAAAGAGAGCTCTGAATTTAACTCCTTTGTTTAGACTTTTTTTTTACTATTACCAATAGCAATTTGTAACCCAACCCACTGAAATAAAAACAAACATTTATAACCAATATTTTGGGAATGTGTGAGTAGTTTTCTAGACTACTAGGAAGGTGGCACTGGTAATCTTTGAGGGACCCTGAGAAAATTAGTATAATTGTTAAGTCTTGGTTGGAGTATTCTGTGAGGCTGGATCATCTCAGCCAGCAGCCTTGAAGTTGTTTTGGATGCTGAATCACCTGGGCCATTTTCATTATGCAAGCTCACCCACACCTCCGCCAACAGGTTTGGCTCTACTATGCTGCCCAGGCAAGGTGCAGGGCCTGCTCTCCCCAGTGCTGTAGCTGGTGAGGGGCAAGGGCAGCTCTCCCATCTGTCTCAGGCATAGAGAGGTGGAGTGGAGGGCATTTCTTCCCTGCCCATGCTGTCATATGGCAGATGTGTGGTGGGGCCAGATCTCTCATGCTCACATTCTCAAGGCTGGCTTACCTGAGTCCCTGTAACAGGGTCAGCTCCACTGTGCTGCCCAGACAAGGTGCAGGGCCCGCTTTCCTGAGTGTTGCAGCTAGTAGAGGGGAGGGTCAGCTTCCTTGCCATCTGGAAATAGGGGTGAGGGGTAAGGGGTGAGGGCATCTTTCCCTTGCTCTCACCACCAAACTGCAGACAAGGGAGGTGATACCAGCTATGCCCCTCCCATGCTTCAAAGCTGGGTCACCTGTACATCTTTCTACAGGATCAACTCTACTATGATGCCCAGGCAAGGCCCAGGACCTGTTCTCCTGAGTGCTACAGCTGGTGAGGGGTTGGGTCAGATCCCCCACCTGCTGCTGGTAGTGAGGACTGAGGAGAGGAGGGCATCTTTCCCTCACCCTTGCCACCACATGGCATACAAGAGGGGAACAATTTGCTCTCCCATTCTCACACCCTCAGGCCCAGCTCACCCATGTCCCTGTTTGCAGATCTATTTTGCTGCCCAGGTGGGGTGTAGGACCCTCTCTCCTGAGTGCTTCAGCAGGTGAGGGGCAGGGCCAACTTTGTACATCCCTATCCTCTCGGCCTTCAGGGGTATCAGGAGCCACAATCAACAGAGCCATGAACCCAGACATGGGCCCCAGCAGCAGCCCAGGCCGAGACATCACTATGACCCTGGGTGGCAATCAAGCCACCCATGTCAGCCTGCTCCTCACCACTTTCACCTCTTCAGATATGCCTCTGTCCACAGGACACAAACCATTCTGCCTCTCTCTCTGTCATACCACACCATGCATTAGCTCACCATAGTAGTGTAGCCACCATAGCCCACATAACCAGGGGCCGGGTGGGCCCATGTTTTCTCCTCAGAGCTCAGGGCAGAGCACCCTAGGCCTGCATGTGGGTCTCCTTGTCCTGCTCAGTTTGTCATGGTGGTGGGCAGGACCATGATCATCACAAAGAGATCATAATAGTGCCCAAGCAAGGTGCCGGGAGGGCTCCTGGTTGTTGTGGAGGTGTGGTGATATTTTATTTGTGCTCTAACAAATAAAGCTTGCCTGAAAATCGGAAGGAGGAGCTAGCCACTCGTTAACCATAGAGTTCTGGAGGTCTGTACAGACAGACAGGAAGTGATAGAGCTGGGCGGAGAGAGGAAGTGATAAGGTGGGGTGGAGAGAGGAGCTTGCTCTCTTTTGGTAGAGGATTTCATAGGGGTAAGAACTAGTGGCTTGCTGCTCTGCTTCTCTGATCTTTCAGCTTTTACCCCAATATCTGGCTCTGGGTTTGTTTTTTTTTTAATTAATAAGACCGTTTAGCAATTCACATTACATGGAGACGTTGCTGGAATCCTCTCTCAGGCCAGGGCGTGCTTGTCTGTTGAGCCATCTTGTCATCCTCCCTCATCATTTCTTACGCCATCCTTTGTTTATGGTACCCAATGATCTGTACTGGGGAATCGAACCTGCGTCCTCTGCAAGAGTGCTCTTAACTACTGAGCCATTCTCTCCAGCCCTCAGGGTTTGTTTGTTTGGTTACTTGGTTGGTGGTTTTTTGAGACAGGGTCTCTCTATAGCCCTTGCTGTCCTGGAACTCAGTATGTAGACCAGGCTGGCCTGGAGCTCACAGAGGGCTGGGACCATGCCTGGCTTCAGCCTTGAGTTCCTGCTTCATGAGCTGTACATGAAGGAAGATTGATCCGTGAGTATTTTTAAGGTCACTGCATCCTGTTAAGGTGATTTTCACTATTATTATTAATTTTGATTCAGGGTCCCAGGCTGTGATGAAGTTACTATGTAGTCTAAGATGACCTTGAACTGTACCTCCCAAGTGCCGGGATTACAGACATATGTCACCATACTTGGTTTATGCCAAGCTGGACAGGGAACACAGAGTCCCAAGCATGCCAGGCCAGCACTCGGCCATTCAGCTACATCTCCAGCCCTCATTTTATCATTCCCCCCATTCGTTGGCCATCCTTCTCATCTCAAAGTCCGTCTTTCTAACACAGAGCTGTACTAACATTCTTAGGACTAGTGTTTGGATCGTTTGAACCTTACTTGCAATCCAGTGTGTACTTTCTGTGAGCAGCAGGTACTTGGAGATTTTAAAAAACACAAATGATAATGTATATCTTTTATTGCATTATTTAGCCCATTTGGAGTCACCAGGGATCCTGGCATGGTTAGACTCAATCTGCCATTTTTCTCTTTCTGTTCATCCCATAATTCCCAGCTTCCTTGTGGGTTAGCCTTGAACTTTGCAGTATTCTATTGTATGCCTTGTTTGCTTTCTAGCTACACCTGACAGAGATCTAACCCCCCAGTCTGTCTTTCTATCACATCAAAGAGTCAGTGTGCACTCTTTTAATCACTACGACTGACCTTGACTCAGTATTACTCTATGTTACAGTCGGAAACACAACAGCCTTCCATGTGGTTTCCCACTCTGTGGTGTTTGTTGTGTATTATACCTTCTCAGTGTGTTATAAATCCCTCTAAACACCGTTGTTGATTTTGCCTTTGGCAACGAATCATCCTTCAAAGTCTTTCCACTTTGAAAGTAACCTGGAGATCCTGACTGTGCATCCCTCACCAAGCAGCAGCATGCTACCTGAGCACAACCACAGAACCAGGACACTGATATTGGTACAGCACTGCGGACTGTTTCTTCCACAGATGTTTTCACACATGAGTGCGTAAGGGTGCCTTTATGCAGTTTGCTCTTGTGTGGTTTACATGGTTGCCCATCAAGATAGAGAGCTGTCCATCAGTGCACAGGAGTGACCTTGTGCTATTGTATTACCAGCACTGCTCTTGTCCCGCTGATCCTTGTTTCCTGGTACCCTTACACTTGTTC